CTACTCACTGTTAATCAGCAAATTATCAAACTCAAAAGTAACTGACTAGCTTTTGCACCCATATAACAGTCTCTAAATTACACCTTTAAACCTTTGATTATTTTTTTAACAGAACCGTGTGGTTCTGGCTCCTTCTCCCTTCTGGGGACCATCAGTCCGGTTCGTATTCCACCGGCAAGCCGAAAGAATTGCATAAAGGGCTCACACACACCCTTCCCCCTTAAGGTAGGAAAGCCCAAGGGATGGCATTGATTACTTCTTGATAGAAGGATTTACCACCCCTCACCCCTGCCTAAGTTAGCCTGAATACTTTTATTTTGACCCTAAGAAATGGAAACGAAACCGGTACTGTGGACCCTTGAGGTCGCGTCTAACTTGTTCCTCTCAGCTCTTCGACTGTCAGATTCACTTTAAATATGAGAACTGTAGATGTGGTCCTCCTTTTTAGGACATGATAAACCCTAAACCCTTTCCGGTCTAGTTGGAATTGCCTATGGGTGAGCTTAAATTCTATCCTCTGTGTTGTCTTTCCTTTTATAAAATCTACCTGGTGCCAAAACTTTAGACCTAGCTGTTTTAGCTGTCCTGCTTACCCTACCTTGAAAACCTGTCTTATGGTCTATATCTCGTACCCTAAGTTGTTCTTGTATTAGCTGGATAGAAAGGACTTTTTCGGGAGCTGTTTATGTGATGGGGCCAGTACTGTTTACAAGGCTTGAGGAAGGACTGATGGGTGTTTGTAGGTCTCGGATGTGAGGTTGGATGGCTGATGAGGTCGGGTGTGTGGATTCGTGGCTGGGGTGGGTTGGGCTCAGGGTGATTTGTGGGGGGGGTGATGGAGTTAGTAGCGTGTAAGAGGGGAGAGAAGGCTCCGGGGAGGTTTAAGGGGTGTTAGGGCTGTGAGGTTCCTTATATTGGGGAGGGGTCTGTATGGTTTTAATGCTTAGCATGCAGCCTGTCAGTGAAAGCCTGTAAAGTGTCGTCGTAGGAGGCTAAGTTGCTGAGGGGATGTTTGGTCTAGCTAGGGGCAAGGGAAAGTCGATTGTGCTTGTTGTGTGCCTTTGGTATGGAAACCTGTGGTGTTTTAGCAGGAATTGATCTGGGTGCTCAAGGGATCCGGTGGGGTAAACAATGGTCCCGAGTCTGAATTAGTGGTCTGTGTTGTATCATTCCACATTGTAAAGATTAGGCCCTGGCCTTTGATGGTTGCTATCTTGCCCTTGGCGAGGTAATTATCCTCAACTTTGGTTTGGATTTCTTTGGTTTTAGGTGCATTTGCTTTCATTTTCCTCTTGGCTTTGAGCCATAAGACCCAGTATTCCGTTTCGACCTGTTGTCTGAGGATACTCCATGCTTCCTGCACGTGAATTGGTTGTTTGTCTATCGTTTCCTGACATCTTATTCTCCATATGGACCATAGTGCTGACTTGCGCAGGATTTGGCAAAGATTGGTTTGTAACGGGGACCAGTCGTCTGGCGATGTGAAACCTAGTAGAATAAGGGTAGGGCTCGTCGTGAAGTTTGTGTTGGTTGTTGAGGACCATATTTGAGGCATTGGAGGAAACAGTGGAAGTGTTTCTCTATTTGGCCCTATGAACAGTTGGCGCATATCTCGTTTAAGGGGTTTCTGTCCTCTTTTTTTCTTCTGAAGTTCAGCCATTGATTGAGCAGGATTGCTAGGTATAGGATTAACCATGGTTGACTTTTGAACTTCAGGGGGTGTAAGGTTGCTATTTGATTCCACGGGATTTCTTTTAACAACTCAGGATCTACTTCGAGGTGTTTCGTCCGGCGGTCTGCTAAGACTGTGTCCGGAGCTGTTGATCTACTTCTGAGTTTATAGCCTAGGCTAGTGGTATAGTTGATCAAGTTGATTCTGCAATCTACTCTTGTGAACTTTTGCTTTAGGTTCCAAGCCCATTCTGCTGGGTCAAATTCTAAATCTTCTATTGTGGTTTGTGGTTGGAATATAGTAAGTTCGTCATTTTCTATAACTCCGACGTTTCTTAGTTTGCTTTCACTGACTGTAACTTGTGCTAACGGGTTTTTGTCGGCTTTGCAGTATTCTGCTCCTGGCTCTTCAAGGCTATGCACGGAGAAAGCAAACCAGTTTTTCTGCCATCTTCCTCTCTTATAAAGGCTAGAGCATGCTCTTGGGACATTACTGCCCAACTTCCTGTTGACCATTGCTTGTTCTTTTTTAGGGTTGCCATCCACTCCGGCGGGATGGAGTTTGTCATTTGTTTGAGATTTTGGGTTAGATTGTGGCAGCCTTTGAGTTTTTCTCTGAGTTGTTTGGCTACCTTCCAGTCTTTTTCTGACTCATCCCAGATATGCTTGATTTGCCAGATGCCTCTCTCCAACCACAACCCCCATCTTGTGTCTTTTGCTGTGAGGGTGAAGGGTATGCCCTCGATATTGGCTAACCATGGGTTACAGAAGAGTGGTTGTCTGAGGATTTCTTCATTACTAATGGGTTTTCTTACCTTCGAGGGGAAGATCTCTCTCCATGCCTTTAGTAGTATCTTCTAGAAGTTGAGTCTAGGTTCATTTTGGGACTTTTTCTTTATGGTCCATGATTTACTTAGGATCCAGAAAGTACCTTCCATGTTCTCTGGAGTACTGAAAGTTGGAAGATGTCGTAACCCTTCAAGAGCCAGGGTTCTCCAAGCCAGTTTAGGACTCGTTAGTAGTTTTATGGTCCACTTGGTTTGAAGAGCTTTTATTTGGTTGGCCGGGTCCAGGACGCCTAGTCCTCCTTGGTCTTTCTTTCTTGTTACATATTGCCAAGCCACCTTTGTGATAAAGTTTTGTCTTGAGGCGTCTCCTGTCCAGAGATAGGCTGTTGCTTTCTTTTGGAGGTCCTTTAGGGCTTTTTGATTTGGGGCCCAAAAGGGTGCGACGTACCACATCATTGAGAATATGGAGGCATTCAAAACTAGTGCTCTGCCATGTCGTCAAGTTTGTTGGTTATTTTGGCTAGTAGGCTGGGAGCCATTTCTGTTTCAGCCCATTGCATCGACATTGGTACACCTAAAAATCTGAGAGGGTCTCTTGGGTTTGCCCATGTCAAGCCTTCCAGTGTGTTCTATGGTGGGTCCAGACCTTCTGTTAGCCACCAGCCTACTGTTTTGTTCCAGTTGATGCGCATTTCAGAGGCTAGTTGGAATGCACACATTGCTCTGGTGTGGGCTTCGAATGAAGAGGGAGATGCTCTTATAGGGACAATTAAGTCATCTGCGAATAAGATTGTGGGGGGGGATATGGAACCTGTGTGGGTTTTGATCTGTTTGGTCGGTGAGTCTGTGGATGGATGGGTCTTTCTTTGAGAAGGATGCAATGGCTCCCACGCTGAAGAGGAAGATTGGGGCTGCCAGGAGATCTCCTTGTCTGACTGACTGAGATATTTTATATTTGTTGGAGATGTGGCCATTGACCTGAACTGCCCCCATTGCGTCGCTATATAGGATTCTTACCCATTTTCGGAAGTTCGGGCCTATTCCCACTGTTTCCATGCATTGTTGTAGGAAGTCCCAATTGACTTGGTCATATGCTTTTTCAAAGTCAAATAACAAGACTGCTGCATTTAGTTGTTTATCCTGGATGTATCTGACTGACTCTGTCAGGGTCATGACATTATCCGAGATGAACCATCCTGGTATAAATCCTGTTTGGTCTATGCGAAAGCAATTTTTGGTGATCTTTCGTACTCTGTTGGCTAGAAGTTTCGCCAAGATCTTGTATGCTACTGTTAGTAGCATGATTGGTCTGTAGTTCCTGATGTCTGTTGGGTCACCTTTTTTGTATAGGAGTGTGACTATACTGGTGCTAAAAGCTGGTCCTAGGCTTTGGTTGGTTCATGCTGTCTTTATAAAGTTGCAGTATTCATCCCCTAAAAGTGGCCAAAAGGTTTGCCAGAATTCCTTTGACAGTATGCCTGGTGTTTTCCCTGGTTTCACGGAATCCAAGGCTGTTTTTAGTTCTTCATTTGTGATTGGTTGCTCTAGCTCCTCAGCCATGGTGTGAGGTATGGTTTTACCTAGGTATTTACCGAATTTTTCTCTCGCCTGGAGGACTGATCTAGGGGTCGGGAACTCTGTCTTACAGGCGTACAACTCTTTGTAGAAAGATTCAGCTATGGATAACATCTTTGTTGGGTTGGATGTTAGGCCTTCTTCTCCTGTGAGCTGGCTGATGGTTGAGTTCCTTCCTTTCGCTCTGATTTTCTGAAAAAAGTATTTTGTCATTTTCTCCCCCACCTCCCATTCCCTTATTCTGGCTCTGAGTCTCATACCCTTCGCTTTCCAGGCATTCCACTGTGCCAGTTCTGATTTAGCTCTAGTTCGTAATTCCTCATAGTCTGTGGAACTGGGGTTATTACATAAGTTGGATTCAGCGATGCTGACTGTTGCCTCTTATTCCTTTATTCTCTGATTTCTTTTTGCTGCTAGCTTGCCTGAGGCTGCGGAAGCTGCTCTAGAGAGGTTGTCTCTTCTCTGTCAGAGTCGATGCAGGCTCTTATAAATGTGGGATCAAAACTAATTAAATTCTGTGAACCGTTTTTCAAATCATGCATACTGCAAAACCATCACATTACACATACATCCACAGGTCAGTCTTTCTAGGTGCTGACTTCCCAACCTCAAACGCAAATGAAGTGTTCGGATGTCACCATCTGCAACTTCTGTTAACCACCTGTACATGGCCCAGGCAAGTTGAGAATCGAAATTGACTCATTCCAAAAAGCTGAGAGGCTTGAGGCTACTGAACCAAAATGGCCAGAGTTCCCAGCCAAAAGAAAAGATAATTTACCATGCTGGCATTTCAGCGAAGCTTGGCATGCAGGGGGAATCCACCTTGGCAAAAAGAGGTGCGGATGTACTTGCGGTTTAAACTAAATGGGGAGAAGGATGGAACGACAAAAAAATGGAAACTTAGGAAATTGAGGCAGGGTGTACAAAGAGAGACGAATTCAGAGAGCAACACTTAGCATGACCCACCTGCAATTCTTGGTCTCATACCCCCCGTGCCAGTGCTCGCATAGCTACTAAATGTCCTAACATCCTTCGTCCCGGTCTCCTGCAACAAAGGATCAAAGGACATTTCAGACACACAACACACCCCCATAACCTGCATGACCCTGGAAAAGTTTTACTTTGCCAAATCACACATGCATCAATATACTTGGATCAGGCTCATCTGAACCTTGCCAACTCACACACACATCAATACATATAAGACAAGTCCTGCAAGAAGGGGGATAACAATGCACGCCACTTCCAAACAATTGACAATTGTCATATGACCATTTTACATAAGACACCGATTGGATCAAAGCTCATCTGAGCCTTGCCCGTCAATTGGAGGCCTGCATCACTCCATCGTCAAGTTGTGGCAAACAGCCCTACGCTCTTGCAATAGCCTTAGCCCTCCCTTCACCCAAAATAAGATGGGGTTACCACACCAGTGGCAAACAGCCCTACCCAATAATCTTGCAATAGTATGAGTTACAAGTAAAGCCAGTGCAGCTACGCCCGCATGCATGGAAATTTCAATCAGATATTCAGGGTCTGCATAAGTATCCATCTCTCTCTCTCTCTCTCTCTCTCTCTCTCTCTCTCTCTCTCTCTCTCTCTCTCTCTCTCTCACACACACACACACACACACACACACAC